TGCGTCAGGTTCAAAGCTTCTCACAAAATCGACCGGATTCCTATATGCCCGTTCCTTCACCAGGCGGTTTGAATACTCTTTGAATTTTATTTTCCAAAGGTTGTCACGGGATCTGTAAATTTAAATGAATTGAAGAATTTTCTCTTTCGGCCATGTCGCCATTTTGCAGTTTGTTTAGTTGTTTAGCTTGTGCAGATAATCAAGTGTGTTCTGTAGATCTACTGCACATTGTGACGCAGAGGCAAACCCTGTTCTGATCCCCTTCGCCTTCAGTGAACGCATAATTTATGTGGAAGTTTGTTTTCTCTTTCATTTTTGAAAAAACAAAACAAAACAAAAAACCAACACAAATTCTGCTCGATTCTTGCTTAAAATTGGGTTGCTTTTTTCAAACATGTTTGGAACGTATGTATGTGTAGGGTTCTAATGGAGCGCCCACGCAATGAAACATTATGATATATTGATTGAGTTGCAGTCAAAGTAGTATGCACACGGACACTTTAAATCAAGCTCGAGACATTCTGTATTACGGAAAACTCTGTGTGCGTGTGAGTGTGAGTCAGCGAGTGGTTTTGTTGTTTTGTTTTAGTGAGAGTTTTATGGCACTTGCAACACAATCACGAAGCAGTGAGTGCCTGGGTGGTGTTTGTAAAGAGAATCCACACAGTAAGGGTACCTTTGCCTACAGACCACGAACATTTTGCATTGGAAAAAGTTCCGCCAGAATCTGTCTGTGTCCGTGCGTAATTGTAAACTCACCGAGTCCGGAAGAAAATCGGTCGGGGTAAGCCAACAAGATGGCGATAAATAGGAAGCAAACAATATTTTTGTGGTGGTGGTACAAGAGAAAACTATTGTATAAACGCACTACAGATTTTGGATTCACCCCATTTTTGAACGGGAATCATTAGGCGAGTGTCGCTCGATAGATGAAGTACATTTGTACTTGCAGACGATGAAAATTTAATGCTTAAAATATCTCAGGTTGCAAAGGAGCACTTTCTATCCTCTGCTCGAGATAATGTGCCAAGCAAGTCTACAAAGAGAGGACACGGACTGGAGAAAAGCAGTACATGGAAATAAAAAATTACATGCATGAATCGCCAGTTTTGAGAAAAAGAAATCGCATGCGTGGTGTGGGCTTGTTTAAGGGGAAGAGTGATGTCCCCTTACCGACGGGCAATGGAAAAAAATAGCGCATGGGGAAACTGATTTTTTTGCGTCACTTTCCGTTACATGTACATGTACTAACAGTCAGCTGCGTGGTGTGGGGCACAGAGATGGCCGCAATACAATGTTTAATAGGAGGAATCTGTAGCGTTATTTTTTGTCTAAGATAGAGACGAAAAATATGTTCCGTTCCATGGTAAGTGGGCGGGTACCCTAACTCTGTCACTTCGTGCATAGGAATAGAAAAACAGACAGACAAGACAGAAGGAAGGGAAAGATGTTGGACCTTTGAGTGGTGCCCTCCAACTACCCACCAATAAATATATATCAAAACACCACACAATCCCCCCCCCCCCTAAAAAAAATGTAATAAAACACTGATTCTGGAAAATGCAATCATTTTATTAAAAAGTCCCACAAAGAATCCTGTGAGGAAAAAAAAACAAAAACAAGGCCGAGACTCTGGGTCAGGAAGCAATCGTCCGTCATGCCCACCTCAGAGAACCTTCTAGAACAACCAGCACCAATGGGTTAAAGTCAAAGTAAAGTATTGCCTCCCATGCCGTTGCGCATCACAACGATCTCCACAGTCAGTGGTTTCTTGTTCCTTACAGGGAATAGCACCAACCCCACTGTGACCTCAGAGGTTGCACACTAGGTCAAGAAGTTTGAAACGGGGGACTATACTTTTCTTTTACCCAACAATGCAGTAAACAGGAAAATGTTTACCGTCTTTTAATGATTAAAAAAAAAAAAAAATCCCATACAGCAATACCCGACATTCTGTCACAACATTACCAACAAATGGGGCCAATCGAGATAGAATCTACAAATATATCAAACAAAGTTCAGTGATTGCAATTTGAACACATACAAGTACATTCTCATTCATAAATCAAAATTTGATCAGTCAGGATTTAAAAAATCCGTCATGCAGCCCAGGAAAAACACTGGAAACATAAGACTTCTTTTGTAAATATTTCTTCAAAATACGGAAAAAAAAGAAGAAGAAAAGCTGGGGTCAAAGTGAGACATTGAGGCCCATCATACGCAGTCAACAACTAACAAAATCTGTTGCCCAACTATGGCAAAAACAAACAGACAGGCTACCACGATGAAAATGTGACAAATGAAAAGAGGAAAGAAATATGGTTGGAGGGAAGTGAACTGCAGCTGTAACTTAAAAACATAAACGCAAAATTCATTTTTGACATGAACACCATCAAATAAAATCATGCCGGACAAAGAACTTGGTCTGGTATAAATATTACACGTACAGTCGAACCTGTCCACGACGTAGATCACTTGTCAAAGAGAAAAGTGGTCGTCTTAGAAAGGTGGGCCTCTTGGGCAGGTCAGATAAAAAACAAATAAATAAAAAAATAACCCACAAAAAATTCCTCTCCAAGATCCCAACCAGAGTCGGTCACTGGCTTACAAATGCTGTAAGAGTAAGAGCCATTAAAATGTTCTTTTTCCT